TAGAAGGAAGCTGCTTCCCAGAAGGCGCCGGCCCTACATGTGTAGACAAGGCCCGCGCCTTCTGAGAGGCCCGGGCGCTTCTAAGAAGCCTTCCCTCCTCCCCGTGCCCCCGTCTGCGCGTGGCCGAACAGGACCCACTTCCCCCCTGGCGCAGCAGGCGATTTTCGAGCGGTGCCGACGCCCCCCCGCTGGACTGCCGCGGCTCCGGCGCGGGGCGCCCTCACAGCTCCTGCGCCTGGGCGGGCAGGCGCGCCGTCGCTGCCGTCGGCCGGTGCATCGGTCGGTCGATGCTCGAGGGTGCAGGTTCTTGGGGGGTCTCTGGCGTTCTCGGGGGCTCCAAAGGCCTTCAGAGGCACCTCGGGGCAGCATCTGGGAATCCCACCAGCCCTCTGGGCGTCGGTGGTTTAGGGCGTTTCCTCTTCCACCCCTCCTTCTTCCCTTTCGGGGAGGGGTTTACCTCTCCCCCGAACCCCTCCCCATGGACCTGGAGGGGGGGGACCGCGAGGTGTCAGGGCGTCCAAAACGGCCTCGGCGAGGAAGCCAAAATCATTTGCTTTACTATGGTTTTGGCCCCATTTGGCCTCCTGGGGGGGGGGGGGAGCGCTAATTAGTGCTCCCCTCTTGTTTGATCGATCTCCTCCAAGATGGCCCCAAGAAGCGCCCAGGAGGCCCCAAGAGGTCCCAAGATGGCCCCAAGATGGCCCCAAGAGGCCCCCGAGAAGCCCCCAGGAGGCCCCCAGAAGGATCCCAAGCGGCCCCAAGAGGCCCCCCCCGAGGCACCCAAGACGCCGAAGAACCCCCCACGAACGCCAACAGACCCTCAAGACGCCCCCAAGACGCCCAAAAGAGATACCCCAAGAGGCTCCGAGAAACATCCAAGAGACCTCTGGCCCTTTTGCTTGCTCTCCTCCTCCTCCTCATTCCTCCTATCCCTTCTCATCCTCCTCCTCCCCCTCCGCCTCCTCATCCTCCTCATCCTATTTATCCTCCTTCTCCCTTATCCCTCATCCATCCAATTTTCTCCTTCGCCCCCTCTCTCCTTCACACGGTTCGGCCGTCCCCCTCTTTGCTCCCCTGCTTCCCTGATCACCTCTCAACTCGCCTGGACATCGTTTCTGGATGGGCTGATGGGGATACTCGTTGTCGCAACCGCAGGCGAGAACGCCAGCGGCGAGTCAGGTCCGAGCGGGCCGCGCAAGAGCTGAATTATCTAACGCCGACGGGCCGGCGACTTCAGGCAGCGCCTCGGCAGGCGGGCCGGCGAGAGGGGGGTGCAGGCTGCAGCTGCCAGGGATCTGGCCCAGGGGCGCGCACATGCAAATGTGCCAACCAAAGTTGGGGCGCAGCCGAAATGGCGCGAAGGTCGTACCAGGATGTGACCAGGGAGGCGGCCAGCCAGTACACTGCGACGACTGCCATGGGTGCCCAGAACGGCTGGTGGGGATACTTTTTTTGGTCGCAGCCCCAAGCGAAAGCGCCGGCGGCGAGAAGGAAATCCGGGCCAACGGGCGAGCTTAATTAGCTACGAGGCGCATTATCGCGAAGCGTCTAGAATTCCCAGAGACATCGAGGAGCCGTCGTCGTCGTCTTCATCGTCGTCGTCGTCTCCCTTCGTCATGTTCGTCGTCTTTCTCGTCTTCGTCCTGACCATCGTCCTCGTCCCCTTCGCCTTCGTTCGTCCTCGGCCTCATCATCCTTCTCCTCCTCTTCGACGTTCTCGACGTCCTCCATTTTGCTGTTTCTCTCTCTCTCTCACTCTCTCTCTCTGCCTCTCTCTCTCTCTCTCTCGCTCTGCCTCTGTCTGTCTGTCTGTCTGTCTGTCTGTCTGTCTGTCTGTCTGTCTGTCTGTCTGTCTGTCTGTCTGTCTGTCTGTCTGTCTGTCTGTCTGTCTGTCTCTGTCTCCCTCTCTCCATTTCCCTCTCCCTCGTTCTTTCTCTCTCTCTCTCTCTCTCTCTCTCGCAGTCCAATCACCAATCCCTCAAGGCAAGCACACATCGGAGGAGGAGGGAAAGAGGGGAGGGGGAGTGGGCTACCCGCCGCCGCCGCCGCCTGGCCCGCGGCCCGCCTGGCCGCCGGCCCGGCCCTCGGCCCAGCCGCCCGCCTAGCCCGCGGCCAGCGTGCCCCGCGCCGCCCTGCTCCGCACGGCGCCGCAGGGCCGGCATTGAGCGGGCGCCGCGTCCAGCAGGGCCCGGGCCACGCCCATGGCCAGCCGGACGCTGATCAACGTCCGCCAACGGGCCCCCCAGCGCGTTGGCAGGACACCGCGGTCCCGCTGGCGCTGGGCCGCCAGCGCAGCAAGCTCGTCCAGCAAGTTGGAGAGCTTGGCGTCCACGCGGCCCCAGGTTTCGACGGCGCACGGGACGACAGCCTTGCCGCCCGTGTCTGGGTACCGGTCCTCCTTGCACCGGACGCCCTCCGCCGCGGCTGCGCCTGGCGTCGCGGCAGCCGCCGGCAGGATCTGCGCGGCCGCGGGGTGGCGCACCGTGCCGTCGAGGAGACG